CCCGTGTGTCGAGCCCTTAATACTGCAATCAAGGCAAAATATTGCGATATATTGCAATTTTTTGATCAAAAATTCTATTTAAAAAATCAGTATGTTTTTTTATGTATTTTATTTGTTTGACAATGCAAATGTCTTAGCTACCGTTAAACTCTCCGGCTCCTCAGTAGTGGAGGAAACAAACTGTTTGCTAACTGCTGCCAACTAGCAGTCCGAGGTTAAACTACAACATAAAAATGAACTGTTGGCCTGAAAGTTTACATTCTAAACCTTAACTAAATATTTATAAAAGAGCTTTAGAGAATCGATACTTTATCAGGAAATGAAATATTGCTATATTTCAGTGTATCGATATTTTCTTACACCCCTACTATAGTCTACTATTTGTAAATATTGTATTCTGGATTAAAAAAAAAACATTGAGTTGTCATTGTGCTTTGTTTAACAGCCTGTTATAACCAGTACCCTTGGCACAGTCAACAATATCATCCAGGTGAAGAAAACTGACTTTGAGGTGTTTGATGCTCTGATGGTGGATTCACAGAAATCCTCTGATGTTTCAGGTGAGAAGCATCTATACAGTTTGTGAAGATTTACTGAGGTGCATTCCARGTTGTTAAAGCAAACACGCACATGCACAGATACAGATTATTTTTRTAACGTGTGCATGATTGCATACATATTTATGTTTTACATGAATTTGTACATTGATCAGAAATAACAATAACACAAAATGCAAAATAAAAAAATAAAATAAATAAATCAGAACGGATTTTCCGATTTCTTTAAAAAATCACTTCAGCTGATGAGTATTTGTATCAAAACAAAGAGAAAGATGAGAATCTGTCACAGTCTTTGTTCACTTATGGGCACTTTGATGGCAAACAGCCTTTTTCCTGTTATTATCCTCCGAGTTAGGCATAAACACTCAGTCACACAGCCTATTAGTAATGACTTAATGTTCTTGTTTATTAAGTGTAATTATATTTCTGTGTCATGACATGATGGTGGTGGAGGATCCAAATGCMGAATAAATGGAACGCAGCAGGAGAAGATGAGCATCAGTTATGTTTTTGTCATTCTAATTCTCTGTTGTTTCATCAGACCTCTCCAGCTCTCCTCCTGGGCCGTACCACCAGGATGCTTATGTTGCTAAACAGGATGAGAAGATTAAGTCTCCACCTATACTTCCCCCTCACCTCCTCCAGGTCATTCTGAACAAAGACACTGGGATTTCTGTGAGTGGTTGTGATATTTCCACTGTAAATGTTTCTGAAACATTTACAAACTTTTTTTTCTTCCATTTTTGCTAAAGTCCCTGTCACACTGTAACATTTTAGGCAAAAAATATTTTTTGACTAAATGACTAATACAGGTTATATATTAGATCAATTTGTTAACGTTACAGTATGTACATTGATTTTTTAAATTCCATCTTCAACGTAGATGTCTTTAAAATTGTTACAAGTTGGCATAAGTTGTTTAAAACGCCATAGTGTGACAGTGCCTTTCATAATTTTTCAAAAAAAATATTGTACATTTTCTTATTAATTTGCCATTTTGAACAAAATACATCCAGGTTTTTGAAATTATATAATTAACTTCAACCTGTGTAATATTAAACTGGTTCAGTCGTTTTGTTTTCTTGTTTCTTTTTGTCTCTTTATGTTGTTTTTTTTCTTTTGTTTTCTCCACTCAGTGTGATCCTGCATTACTTCCAGAGCCCAACCATGTTATGCTCAACCATCTTTATGCTCTTTCTATAAAGGTAAGGTTTCCAGTTGATTAAATGACACCACAGTATTTGTGTGTCTGTGTTTTAATAGTTTATGGGGTCCATGTGAAAACCACTGCTGGAAATCTCTGTGAGAATTGGCCAGATTTCTAGCTTTTTTGATCTTTACCAAGAAAGTGTGCGCTTCTACTTCGTAAAGCAAGCTTGCACACAGCTAGCAGAGCGTATTACATAAGTGGCATGCTAACAATGATAACAGACAGCTAAAAGGTCAGTTTGAAGGACAGATAAATTCCTTGGTTATGACATTCTGGCCGGAAAAACAAACTAACTGCACATGCCAAGATAAATACATACATAGACGGCAGTTGCAGTCTAAATGCAGAACTTAGCCAAAAATAGAACAACGTTTACATTACATTTTCTAATACAGACTCTGGTTAAGATTGTTAACTTTAATACTTTTATAAGCTTTGACCTTTATTGCTGAGTTTTAATTTCATGATGTTGCCGCTGTGTTCAAAAACAGATACATTACTGCAATGTTTGGGTCAGGAAAAGACCAATTTTAACTTTCCGGTTATCAGCTAATAATAGGAATATTCCGATATTTCATAGATACACTGGTTGTTTGGGAATAATATTTATTGCTCTACTGAAACAGTTTTAGTTCAGTTAAGGAAAAGGAAAAATGCACTTATGAGTTTAGAAAAGGAAGTTCACCTAATTATGCACAATTAAAAACACCAACAACAAAATGTCTGTCACAGATTGCAGCACGATGGCTCAGTCGTTAGCACTGATATCTCACAGCAAGATGGTCCCCGGTTTGAATCTGGGGGGTCTTTCTGTGCAGAGGTTGCGTGTTCTTCTTGTGCTTGTGTGGGTTTTCTTTGAGTACTCCAGTTTCCCCTGCAGACCAAAAACATGAACAATAGGTTGCTTTCAGACCCAGGCCTCCCTTCAATACAGATCTGTGATGTAACCCTGGTTAAATAACAGCCAAATTATATTACACACATTCAGGTGTTGCTCTCATAACTTTGTCAGGTCGGCTCCCAGAAYTTTGACAAATGTTGGTAAATCCAAACAAAATAAACATCAAAGAAAAAAAGAAATAGATTTGCTTCAAGATAAAAGTTAAATTGTTGTTTGTCAGCAGTTCTGAAGAATATACAGAATGTTTGTATTGGGAAATGGGGAAATTCATTTTCATAATAATAATGAGTCACACAGTGTTTAACTGTAAACTCAGCTAATTATGAAGTCTCTCTTTTTTCCTACAACCTATTTTCTGTTAGATGACTYATTTTTATCTAATGATTGACAACTTTTCATAAGAAGGCACCACCTTTGWTAACGGCTTTTTCAAAAACACCATCAGGCTTTGCTGCTTGGTAACAGTCTGTTGCAGTTCTCTGTGAAAATATCCATTCATTCATTTTCTTTACCCAGTTTTACCCTTCTGGGTTGTGGAGGAGCTGGTGCCTATTGCCAGCAGTGATTATGCAAAAGTTTGGGTACACCCTGGAAATTTCCCATGTCCATCACTGTGTCACATAGAGACAACTATTCATGCTCTCACACACTTAGGGACAATTTATAGTTAACTGATTCAAAATGGGAATTTTATTTATTTAGTTAGTTAGTTAGTTAGTTAGTTAGTTAGTTAGTTAGCATGTCCATTTAGGACCCTAAAAACAAGACTTAAATCAATAAATCTTTGATCATTTTCAAAGTCCAAGATCTTGTACTTATTGGTGATTTCACAGTAGTGAACATGATTAGGCTGTCTGTCTAAAACTTGTCTTTTTGAAGGGAGACTTGATGAGTTTTAACACATTTGCTGTTGTGTGGGATCAAGTTTAAGACAATAAGAAATATGAGAAAAATACATTGCATGCATAATAAACAACCCAGAAAGATACATCATTTAATCRATGTTGTTCCTCTTATGCTAATCTTTGTTGTCACAGGATGGTGTGATGGTACTTAGTGCGACACATCGCTATAAGAAGAAGTATGTCACCACTTTACTGTATAAGCCCATCTGATTGCAAGACATTCCAGCCCTGTGTGCTACACTGAGTATGCAAAATATTACCTCTGTTTTTTTTTTTTTTTAATCATGAAATTGAGACCAGGCAAGCTCAGCTTTATACCTCTCTCATTTTATCTGTTGGTGAAGTTGTGTTGAAGGAGATGGAGGCTAGAATGATTTAGCTTTATAACATTGTAAAATTAATTTCTAGGAATAAAATAGAAATGGTGCTTATTCTCTAAAATATTAAGTTTGAGATTGTATATAAAGTAGGACTCGATGGTACATATAAAAAGGCCAAAACAAAAGAACTAACAGATTTATAAAGATGTCTTATGGGATTCTGATTTTTTTTTAGCATTACAATTAATATTCGAAACTTTGGACACAMCATGCCTAAACTGTCAAACTTTGAAAAACTTATTGCACCTATTTTTATTTATTTATTTTTTAAGGTAAATAGTCAAATACATTGGTCTGTCTAATACAAGAACATGTTCAGTGGTGCTTGAAAATTACACAACTCTAATAATAAAATACCCAACTTTTTTTCTGTACTCAAAGTAGCTGGTGCAACGTGATGTATATGTGTAAGGAGGGTAAGTAAGACAAATGTCAGTTATTTAGGTGTAATTATTTTAAGAAAAAAGGGTTGTCAGTGCCTACTCTCTGTGGTTGCATGAAGATATTATTCTGCATCAGTCTCACTTGCTGCAGAGTGAAGGATTGAGGGCACTTAACRAACTTTAATTCTTCAACACTGTAGAGATTTTGAAGATGATGTCATGTGACGATCGAATTCTGATTGATTTCAAAGTTAACACTGACTGACAAGTTTGTTTCAAAGAGAATGAGCGTAAATAAGGATTTTAAAAGTAAAGATGTGCATTTAAAAACAGATTTTTGGTCCATAGTGACTTGAAACATGCTTGTTACTGCCTCTAAGTGGCAGAAACACATTATGACAAGTAGGTTTGCGTTTGCAGAGCAGCACCCCAGGACAGATGCAGAAACAGCTATAATCCTTAAAGAAGTTGGGATGAAGTCTTTAAAAATAAATAGATTGTGTATACTGGTCAACTTGCTAAGCTCACCCGCAGACCAATATGCGTAACATTTAGTGAGGCCATAAAAACAAAATTAAAAAAAAATAATTCTGCAAAGCTTCTTAACATACTAAATGTCTGACGGGGCTGCAAGGAGAAAATTACTTCCCTTCAGATTAAACTTGGCTGTCTAGACACAGTTTGTTTAATATGATTCTGACAAGTCAGAAGACTTTGGGAAAATAAAAACTTTTTTTATAAATGTCAAGTTAATAGAAATATGAATTGTTTTGTTTAGAGGAATGACATGGCCTTTTTTAATTAAATCTGGATACAACAAACAAACGCTACAACATGTGTTAAAAATGTGATAGTTTAGAAGAAAAAGAGCAAATTAAAGTCTGCACAATTTTCAAGCACTACTGATCACTGCTTTGTACACTCTACATATCCAGATACTCTGCACTTCTATTTAGGATAGTAAAAGTTACAATTATTCCACTCTGTTATCTGTTTCTTTTAGTTTCCAACCTGCCCTCTACACCTTTTTTTCAAAAGCAATACATTTGCTTGTAGAACACAGGCAATAATGACTTTTTTGACTGAATCAGGAGAGTAAATGTAAAAGTTGATAGTGCTGACAAAATATGACTGAAAGACCTTTGTATGAGTAAGGCCACTGACATTTCAACTACAATTGTGAGGGTGAAAGCACTACAATCAAGAATGTGAAGGTTCAAGACTGAAAATATACACTGCAGTAGGTTCTTTTGTCTTTCTCTTTTCTATTTATATTGAGCTGTACTGAAATGGATTGAGAACTTTTTAGGATTTATTTTATGAAGTACTGAATAATATATCTTTTCATATCCATTATGATGTGGTTTATTATATGTAAAGCACTTTTTTTCTTTTGAAGTTGGCTGCAGTGTCTGGTATAAACCATTCCAGTCAAGACAGAAGATTGTTTTGTTTAAAATTCAATTGGTGCACTTACATTCTGACAGTGAATTGGTTGAATATGACTGAACTTTAATGAGTTCTTAGGCAGTAGATGTAACATTGCACTGATAATTAAATGTTTTCACATTATGATTTTGTTCAATAACACTTGACGTTAATTCTTGCTGACTTTGTTAGTGAAGCATTATTTGTTTGTGTCATAGCACATTGCCAGTCTTTAGAAGCTTTATTACAGTCAAGTGATGTTTCCTGAGTCCATGATTGGTCTAAATGGGAAAGTATGTCTAAAACCAAAGTGAAAGCACTGATTGGAAGAGGACCAGGTGATTATTTGATACAATTATTAGTCTTTATTTTTTATCAGTTTTAAAAAGCTTCAAATGGTAGTTAATTTTACTTAACCACCATTATTATATTATTACTAAATCAAGAAAAATGGGTCAGATTTTTTAAAATCGGATAAGGACTCTTTACTTTAATGGCGATTATTCTTATTCTAAATATTTGTTTGGGCCAGAAGAGGCTGAGTTTTCATTTGTGTTAGATGTTGTGCTCTTAGTACTGACATTGTAATACTTGAAGTAAATGTAGATTTTTTTTTTGTAATTAAAAGAGTCGTCATACCTTTGTGAGTTTCCCTACAGTGTAGTTATTTGAATGGTCCAATAAAGCTAAATGACAGGTGCAGAAAAAGCTTTTTTCTTTGTTGCATTACATGTCAAGAACCAGCACTGTAGGAAGTGTTTTAACAGGAATGCTTTTTGAGACACGAGCTTAAACAGAATTTCTGACAAAAAAGTTTAAATGAACTTAGAAAACTGTTGTATTGGTTTTCCAATACTTTTATTTTGAAAATTGGCATAATATGAGCCCTTTTAAAATGCTGTTAACCATTTATACCACATTTTGTATGTGTTAAGACATAAGTTTCAAATTCCATATTGCTGTTTGTTTTATTCATGGCTAAAATACACTGATTAATAGATTTTAGGTTCCATTTAGCTGAATCAGCTTTTGTTTTTCATGCCATATGTCATTTGAAAATGTGTGTACACTGCCTCACATCACCTTCAATAAATCTGCAGATATTGTAACAGCACCTTTTTGTTGCAGTCTGTCTTTTTTGAGGCTTGATGTCAATGCTCTGTATTAAAAATATGAACAGGCAATCTGTATATAAGAAAGAATTGTGCTTTATCAGCTAGCCTTGAGTCCACTATTTATGACTAATGCATAACTAAATGAATTCCAACTGTGAATTCAAGTTCTTTTCCTGTGTTATTCAAAATGTCAGTCAGTCACTACAGCAGGTCAGATTTGTGACTTTAAATACATTTGCAAATCAGTAAAAATGAACAAGAGTTTTATTTTATTTTCTCTGAGAAACTCAAACCCACATTGAGTTTGTGGCCTTGAAAAAAAAAAGGATTAATAGGTCTCCTCCTCAAACAATGAATCTGTAGTAAAAAATAAAGAATGTTTCAATAAARTTGAAAAAGTATTAGAAAGGGGCTACCTATTTTATCATAATGTAAAAAGCATTAAAACTAATGCAATCTTGGCCACTTTATATTTTATTACTTGGTTGACATGTGTCACATCTCTTGTTTATGGGCCATCGTTTTTATAAATCAAAATTTGCACATAATTTGGTTGCATTTTAGATTCCGTATATGAATTAGGGTTGGGCGTTATTGGCAAAAACATTAATCACGATTAATTGTGGTATTTAGCTCATAACGATTAATTTGACAATTAATCCCCTGGAGTCCCTGGACACCCTTATTTTGTAGTCACATGACCAATTTAGTGGGAAAGATTTGCTCTTTGTACGAAATTGTTCTAAATTGTGTGAAAATTACAGATTTCAGGCTATACACATTTTAAATCGTGTTGATAGATAAATAAAGTACAGAACTCTATTTTTAATGTTCGTCATATTTGAAGCAGAGAGGAGCACCGAGCGGACTGACCAGAGTAATCCCCAGTCAGTCTGCCTGGTGGTATTAATCATACATCGTCAAGTGACAAAAAGTAATTGTTTAATGTTTTTCTGACGATTAATTGCACCGATACGATTATGCGCAATCCTAATATGAATAACTTTTCATTTGCTTACATTTGTGTGGTCTTTTTTAAATCAGAAGCATTGTTTTAACTTGATTCTATTAATACACATAACCTCACGGCTTGGTGGCTAAGGTCAGAGAGTCCATTTAACAGCAAGGCACGTGGATTCAAGGCGTGAGAAAAAAAGTCTGGTTTTCACCTTTGCTCGTCTGAGTGCCAGGCTGTGATCCTGATGTGTATGGGCAGCTGATGGGGGAGTTTCCATCCCTCGGTGTATAAAAAGAGGCCCTACCTTGAGCGTGAGAACGACTCTGCCTCTAACCTTCTGTCTTCCATGATGAATGCATTGCACACTCTCCTCCTCTTGGCTGTAGGCCTTTCTGTGGGTGAGTACAGATGACAAAAAAATTGTGAGCGTTTTTGGAAGCAATGTGCAATCTAATCCATGCTCCTGTGTTGCAGCTCACTCTTTGGACTACAAGGCGCTCAACCAGTTTAGAAGGATGATCCTGTGTATGATGCCTGATAGCTGGCCTGCGCTCGACTACTCTGACTATGGCTGCTACTGTGGCTATGGAGGTTCTGGCACACCAGTTGATGATCTGGACAGGTGATGATTCTGCTACTTCATATTCTCACAACATGTAAGAGAATGGGACATCTAAGTTTTTTTTTTACTTGACCTGTAGGTGCTGCCAGGTTCATGATCAGTGCTACAGTGACGCCATGCAGCATCCAAAATGCTGGCCCATCCTGGACAACCCTTACACTGAGTTCTATGACTACACCTGCGATGCTGCTAGCAAAATTATCACCTGCACACGTGAGTTGACTTAAAACATACTTTTTATTTTTATTTTTCCTCTTTACACCAGGATTTTTTTTATCCTCTAGATTGAAATGTATGCCTTTGTACTTTCTCCTCTTCAGACAAAAACAATGAATGTGAGATGTTCATCTGTGAGTGCGACAGGAAGGCTGCAGAGTGCTTTAGCAGGTCAGAATGGATCCCTGAGCACGAGCACCTGCCAAGTGACCGCTGTCATTAAGCATTTCAACTGTATCAAATAAAGAATCTCTGCATCAATAAGTTACATTTATTTGTTTAGCTTTCAACAGTAACAGGTTGGTGTCAATTGACATTTTTGCCCTATTCTGCATATTTACACTAATCTTGCTGAATTGTTTAAATAAGTGTTTTTATGTCTATGTTTCCTTTTTCTCTCATGCTGAAATTATTGGTTGAGTTTGCAACTGCTGGTTAGTTATCAATGGATGGCACTGTTCATTACCTGTTGCTTTAGCTAAGATGAGTAAAGAAGCCATTTGTTCAGGTAAATTATCATTTGTTTTTCTGTGTATTTTCTATAACCTTGTCCAATAAATAAAATATTTTCTCAGGAAGAAAAAAAAAAAGTCTGCTCAGCTTTAAAACTTATTATATAAATCTATTGCCATGCTTTCTTTTCCTTTGGCAATGATTATGCAGTGCTGGCAACACACACTGGTTATATAACCTTTTTGAGTGATCTGTTATTCACAATTAATTAAAAAAATATGATTCCTATCCAAGCTTCAAAGTTAGACAAACACAATAGATAATCCAATGTAGGTTTTTTGCAGTGTTGTCTTGGCAATACAAGCTTAAGCATTCTTATCTTTTTCAACTTAATCCCAATAGTATTTTGAAACATATTCAGGGCGTGACACAGATGGAGATGTTTTTTTTWAATGAAAGTTGGTAAAAATACATAATGTAAAACTTTTCAAAAGCAGAATCGTTGCTGTTACATACCAAGTTATGTCTGCTAATAAGGCCGTTTGGCACAGACAAAATAAGAAAAATTCAGATCATTACTGCCCATTGTCTGTCTTTCAGTGAGCTGCCTGTGTTAACTATCCACAGTGATCAGTGCTGAGGCTGCAGCCCAGTGAATCACTCTTCAGGCTGTTGTTCAGACAGCACGAGCATCAGCACTGTGAGCTCAGTGGCTGGTAGCTGGCTGCTGGAAATCATCCAGCTGAGCCTTCTGCTTGCTAAAAGATAAAATGACATAATATACAGACAAGAAAAGAAAAGGGGTGGAAAAAAAAACAGAACCAGCAAATATCTCACATTTTACCCTTCCGTCAGCATCATATGTGATTGTGCCTAAAAATGACTAATAGGCTTGTTGTCTCATGCAGTGTTCAGACAGATGATCATAAAAATATTCTAACTGAAACTGCTGAATTATGAAACCAGTATCACTCTGTTAGATTATCTCCTACTAATTTCTCATTGTATAATCAGTTTGATTTACTTAAACATAATCGTTTRGTTCTGTTTTCTTAGGCGAATATGCATCATGATTTTGTATAGCCAAAAACTTAGTTAATGGTTGATAAATATGTCCTAAAAACGGAAACTGGAACCAAAGCTAAAACAAAAAAGAAACACTTTTTTTTAAAAGCAGGTACATTTGTAGATGATTTTATTTATTATATAGCGAGAATCTGTAACGTTTACCTGATGGCAGAAACTGCATGGTGTGGTGAAGAGGATGAAAGCATTAGTCCATTAAATGGACGTTATTAGCGTTTATCAGTCCCATAGAATGACTTCAGACTGTCCCGACAATGCCCCCCTAGTGGATTACCTGTGCCATATATGTTGGAATGCAACAATCTGCTACTGCCGGAGTCCAGTCTACTTTATCGTAGCCCATGTCGTTTTCTGTACAATTAACCTTAGTGGCTTTATGCCTCATATTAACCAGCTGACAGTCTGCAGCCATTCTATGGGACTGATAATGGCTAATAACGTCCATTTAATGGATGAYAACATTCAAAGCGGGTGTGCTAGCTTCCTCAGCAGGTAGAGATGCTGATGTGACTKTTTATTTAGTCCACATGCTGGGAAAAGGAGAGACAGCAGTTCAACTCTGTGCCAAGCATTTAAAAGACTCAACCTGCTCCACTATCTGGTCCTGGATACGGACGGCTTTAAACAAATGAGATGAAATATTTGCTCTTTGCAAAGCTCTTTTGTTTTGTTTAGCTCCTAAAAGTCTTTAGCTAATGTCTGGACCAAGTTATTAACTGCTGCTTGTACTGGGTTAGGATTCAAGTGCTTCTGCCTTACTAATGCCAACCCAACTTTTATGTTTTCTTCTTTGAGGATAGAACTATGACCAAGCAAACTACCAATCATAAAAAAAGATAGAGAAACAGCAAATCAGCAATTTTGCAAGGYGCATTTCTGTTRATACATTTTGTTGTGYATTTGGARTCTTTAAGATTACAGAAAAAGTTTAATTTAGTCCCTYCTGGTGCTGTGTAGATATCTTTATATTCTGTTAGGGTTATATTTTTCAACCTGTTCATTTTTTTTCCATTTTCTATGATGTTTTCTGAATTATTCRGTCAAATTATTTGCGATGGAATTGCAAAATACGGTCTKACTTACCAACTAACCAATTTTGTTGTTTTCATTTATKGGATGGGTCAGAATCTGGCTCCAACATGTAAGGCTGGATGGAGAAGTCTTCTGTTGTTCACCTTTTAATTGATTTGTAAAAAAAAGTTTATACGTAAACTCCTCTATCAAACTAGATCGAACAGGTCTGGAAGCTACAAGAAGTGGAGTGTGAAGCATCTCATTTGCATTAAAGGGGACAGCCTCAAACCGAGTTGATCTGAGACACACCTCAGAAAAGGGGTGAAAGAGGGGCTTGGGGAGTTACAATATGAAGGAATTCAGACCAAAGCATTGCAGTTCCACTTTATATAGACCCCAACTGAATGATCTGAATGTGGAAAAGAAGGATTTAAAAGCAGGAATATGTCCCCTTTTAAGCATCGCACAAATAAGTCCAGAAAACRATAGCTCATGCCAATCAAGGTAAAACTGTTAATTCTGCTAATGKAAAGAACTGAGCTCAATACTGCTTTGTAAATAAAGAACAGCATGTCAACCTTGAGCAAAGTAATAGAAATGTTTTGTAATCCCCAACTCATGTTTTCATTGAAACCATGCAGATGTGCTAAATGCTATAAGCTGTGTCTTACTACAGAGTTACAACCTTATGAGTGGCATCAGGATTTGTATTTCTTCTTCTGGACCCAAGGGACATTTTGAAAATTGTGATTGAAAATACAAAAAATATATTTGCATCTCCTATTTAGACTCATCTCTACTGTATGTCACAAATATGTCACCAAGATGTAGTTTTCATGTAAAGGAACACTTAGTCAATTTATGTTTGTATGAAAAAATTTTTAAATCGTTTATTTAGATAAAATCAAATTAGACTACAAACTAAAGCAATAGGGAATTCAGATAGGCWCTATTAAGTGACTAATCTAAATTTTAAAATCGAAAATTTTAATGGCACTAAACTAAATGCCACGGAGAGGTTTCATCTGCTGTACACGTTTCATTAGATTTGCACATTTTAAACTGACATTTGTATCCAAAACACCATTAACAACAACAAAATACTAGTTCCTGACACACCAACATAAAAATATTTTTCACATCCTCATTCTGTTATAACATTGTTCTGTGCGTAACTTGTTTCAGTTTCATTTAGTTTGTATTTTGTGGTTTGGATGGCTGATTTATGTGTTAATTTTTTTTAACTGCAGCTTTACTTGCTCTAAAAATTCCCATCTCTTCATTCCTTCTGACAATAATTCCTCCTTTTTTCCCTCCAAGRCCATAAGTTGCCTTTGCGCTGCACTTCATTACATGTTCAACTTGTTTCAGTTCCAACAAACTCACTTTTGAGTATGTATTCCTTGAAAGGACTAACCCCCGCCCCCCCACAAAAAAAAAAAAAAAAAAAAAAAAAAAAAAAAACTTTTGTGAAGNAAAAAAAAAAAAACTTTTGTGAAGTGGCTCCATAATGATAATATAAAGTGTACATTTATTGCTAAGCCACTGTTAATTAGTACATTACAAAATAAATAATACTTAACTAMCTTGTGAAAGGAAGAACTTCATAAACTGTGGTTACTTTACACTCATCCTGTAGTTCCACAAATTGTAAAAATAATTCATAAAAAGCTATTCCTGAATTTAATTTCCAGCATCAAAATGTTTTGGATAAGTGCGTGAAACCATAGTTGTGTTGCTCAAGTGCAACACTCYAGCTGATACTCAGCTGTAACAGTTCCCAAGGGTTGAAATAGGACACYGGTTGCCTGAGGGAATAACAACACAAGATTAAATGAGGTGACCAAGTAAGAACAAAGACTTTCTCACTGGTATATTATCTCATGATGACAACACCCYGGCCTGTAAACACAAGTCCATGCACAATTCCAAGAAGCTAACAGGGATGCTTCCATAGTTATGTGCTGTTTGCCAAACCAGTAGTGTRCAGTACACAATGTAACGATTCCAAGCATGTCACGGGCAAGGGAGTGCCTGAGACATCTTCTTCCATTCAARCTGTTTGTGCTTTTGCCAAGATTCGTTTCTGACTCTTTTATGTCTGGTATGTATGACGCAGGGRATGAAAAGACTGGGAAATCTTAGGCTTGTGCCAAGAACGTTATTATGTAAGGGAGGTAAAATCACAAGTAAACCTTTATTTGTTCTCTCACTGTGGTTGGAAATGGTGAACAAGTGGGTATACATACAAAGGTTTTCYATCTTATACCCTGATAATCAGGGTTTATGCTTGTGTAAATATGCAGCWCATAGCATCCATGTGTAGAAAAGTTAGAATTTCATAGAAAAGACAAAACAAAGGTTTTATAATTTAAATATTTAATCAGATTATTATTGCAACAGAGTATTTACATGGCAACAAGGTAGTTTGGTTCAGAAGTGAGGRTCAGATTCATACTTTCCAACATAGGTTTTTTTTAAGAACTTCATCCATCCCTTAATGTTTAAACCCTCTTAAATAGTARGAAATGTCATTAATTTTACATCACTTAAAGTGCTGTAGAGGAATTACATAAGTCTTGGTCTATGCACTTGGAGACAGCTCTGGTCTGTACCTGTTGTACAAGGACGACCTAAAATACTGTGGCTCATCAGTCTCTTTTGAACAGGCGGGTGCCTGTTGGYATGAAAATGGCCGATACTTGGAAAGCGTGGAGTAAAAACGGTTGTTGCTGCCTTGGTCATTATTCGATCCATCTTTTTCCATGCACACTTTGTAATTCGGTCCTTTGTTGTTATCATAGAGAGGTGCAATGCCAGGTAAGCCACCAGGGGTGGTCTTTGAAATGTTGTAACTCTGCCCTTGCCTCCTGTCTCGAGGACGTGTCAAGTCTTGTGTGGGCTGAGAAAAAAAAAGCGGCAAGTTGTTGCGCCTGAGGTTGTTTGGACTCAACTGCTGGTCTTTGAGGCAAACGAGAGGAGGTCCCTTTACCTGGTCAAACGAGGAGGAAAGGGTCTCAGGGGTGAACAGACGCACTGCAGTGAGTTCGAGTCCCCTGTCGTCAGCAAACACCACACGTTTCTTRTTCCCGCCAGTGCTGCTTTTGCGGAAACAGCTTCGCAGATTTGGAGGGCCTTGAGTCAAGGTTGGCGATGGCGAGGAAGTGAGTCTCGTGGACTGAGGACTGATCCTCTCTGGAGAGCAAACTGGCAGTTCATAATGCTGCGTGGATTTCAGAGGATACATGTTCAGTAGTTGGCAAAGATACTGGCTCTTATTTCGGGTCAGATACTTGGCCAGTTCAGCTGAGGTTATAGGCTGAGGGTGACTGAAGGCATTAAGAACTCTGTAAAGAAAAAGAAAACCCAATGGATGTTATTAGATGTACAGTGGACAAAACATCAAATCAGTGCAGTTGATTAAAAATATAACTAACAGACAACTGAAACTTACCGTGCACAATTCATTTTCACCCGGTAGATCTTCTGCTGTTTAATAGCATGTACTCGCAAAGGCTGCAGCAAAGTCAGGATGACCTGCAATCAAAACCCAAACATTTGTAAACTGTTAATACACCAAACTACAATAAGCTGTAGAGACTAGTGCAAATAAAAATAAAAATAAAAAACTTAAAGCCAATGCCACTGAGAATCAGATACTTACAGTTTGTAGAGCTGTACGTATCACGTCAGATCGGTGATAAGGAAGCAGAATAATCCTGACACCACTCTGCCTTTGCGCTCTCTGAAGCCTGGCTGCTGAGTTTTGAAATGAAAGAGTGCACCCTGCAGTGATGTCACGTTCAYACGAGGGCACGATTTAACCAATGAAATGAAACCAGTTTATGTCTTGCCAATATGAAGCTGTTGACTAAGAGTCAAATAGCTTCCCTTGTATGGTATGTTTGATGACAAACAAAAAAAATGGGTCGGATGAGAAAGTTAAAATACAGTTAGAACCTGTTCAAATCTTTTGTTTGTTTGTAAACATACCTTTGATCCGGGATGACATCAGTTGAGTAAATAAGAATGGTTTAATTCAATTGAAGATGCAGTGGGAAGAATATTGTAAAAACAATAAAGTAAGAGCTTAAAAAAACATTTTGATAATTCAGAGTCAAAATAGTTTAATGCATCAGGAAGCCAGCCTCTGCTGAAAACATGCCTTTTCTGCATGTTTAAACTTGAAGAGTTGGTATTGCACATTTAAGGATTTAATTACAAATGTTGTGTCATTGTCAGTTTTTAGAAATGCATAATATTTTGTTTCACTGAGAACACTGTGTCCCAACGGTCACTATACTGTTCATCAGCTGATAGGCAGAGCCACCAAAAACTCTGGAAGGTCTCCAACAAACACAAGCGGTGTTAAAAACTTTGTAAAGGGAGAGTTTATTTATTTATTTATTTATTTATTTATTTATTTTGTATTGCCATTAAAATAATAAAATGAAAAAAGAAAGAGTAAACTTGATAATTATTTATTTATTCATTTTGCATTGTCATTAAAAAGAATAAGTGAGGAAAGAAAGATAAGCTTGATAATTTTGGAAATTAAGAATGGAGAAAAGCCCCATCAGGTGACACATTCTAGAGCCTGACCCAAAAAAAATTAGATAACCGCCAAAAATATAATGAGTGACAGATTAATTTAATCACAACCGCTTATCAAAACAGTCCTTAGAGCAACAACACCAGTTTATGTAATAGTAATAAAGATATCTAGTCTACAACCTAACCACTTGTGGTAAAAACGTACCAGACTTTGTTTTACTTTACAGTTGTTTTTGTCTGAACCTGTAATGAATGTCTAGTTGGTTAATGAAAAAAAGCATCTGAGTCAAATGCAACATGTCTACAGAATAACTGAAAGCACTGCATGTGTGAAAGGCATCTGTTTGGTTTTGTTGGGCATTCAAAACAGCAATGCTATTATATATGTTTATACGTATATATACATATGGATTTGTTTTAAGATAAGTGAACTTCTTTTCTTGCCTTTTGAAAATATTCAGTTTTATTTTAATTTTTTTCTCCAGAAGCGCTTTCTCAGTTCTAATTAAAATATTAAAGAGTTCTTTAAAACTGCAATGACAGGCTTTGTTGATAAAAACTGAACTCACGTACAGATCTCCCTCCCTCCTCTCATTTCTGTAGGTYATTAGAATCTCTAGGCTTTCTCACAAGACATCTCAGTCCAGGACTTAGACTTCTGGTTGCCTCATTGAGGTTTCTAAATGAATCGAAGGGCCAAGTGGGGGTTGAAGTCAGCCCACCCCGATTCAATTCAATTCAATTCATTTCAGTTTTATTAATCCCAAAGGTTAATTAAATGTAGTTGTAACTCACATTATCCTGGTTTCTTTAAAGAGTTGTTCACTGGTTATAGATACTGATGGCTGTGGGCAGGAAAGATCTGTAGTGGTCCATCTTACAGCAAATCTGAATAAATCTTGACTGAAGACACTCTGCTGTAATATGCAGGTGCTCAAGGCTGTCCATTGGTCAGAAMGCCTGTCAGGAAGATGCTGGAGTCAGGGATATAATCCTGCAGCCATGTCTCAGTGAAACACATAATACTGCWTAATACTACTCTGGCTGGGTTCTTGGCATTGGAGCTAGAGTTCGTCCAACTTGTCCCTCTTCGATCTCCCATCGCTCATCATGATTGATGGAAGAGATGGTTTGAACTTCCTTCTTCTTCCTCTCCTCTTTGCTTCTACTCTGCATCCACGGCACCTTCTTTTCAACTCATCTGGGATTTGGAGCTGCAGTTGAGGCTGTAGTTAAGTTATTTTTTTTTAGCTTTTGAGATGTTAATCAGCTACTCCTGGTTATGACAAACCACCATGTTGGTTACAACAAACGTCCAAAAGCAAAATGTGTGTCATCAATAATCATTCCAGTTGCACAGCATCTATTGGCAGAGGCAATAATCATCAAAAAATAGCCAGGAAAAGGGAATTAAAAAGTTTAAAAAGATCTCATAATGAATGTAACAGAGYTACTCCAACATGCTGCCACTTTGAGCGGCCCAGTTCTAGAACCAGACTTTTAGAACTATGTATTTAGTTAAAATAATAGTTATTCACGAAGAAAATCATTAAACCAAGTTATATCTCCATGTTTGAAATTAATGTCTCACTCATCAAACATATTTTGCGTCATGCCTCTTTTGGTTCTGGRAGGCTTGCTTTATTTCTGAAAACTCACAACTGTGCAGGACATGGGCTTCTCTGTCAGTGATTTATGAACGGCCAGAAGCACCATAAAAGTGGACTCGTCTGTGTGCCCATTTTATGAAACTGTTATAAGAAAGAACCTCAACTAACATTAATCTTTTGTTGGCAGAGCTTGTGCTGATACCACTACCTATCATATRTACTATTATTTTCTGTTAGCAACAGCCTTTGTTGAAAATGTTTCCACACCTACCAACCATGACAAAGAGATTACTTATTTATTTTTTTAATTCACTAAAACCAGTCYGGGAGTTACTGTGATTCATTGCCAGATCCCGCAACATGCCAGTGTTATAAAACTGAGTGKAGGCCTTGAGGCAAACCAAGTTACATTTTATCTGACAGCTGTATTTGATGTTRTGGTATCCCCCTAAGGGAGCAGGGGAATTTGTCTGAGGTGAGGGGAATCTAAGCTTATCTACTCAAACTGCTGCTTCTTCAAACCCAAATCAAGACAAATGGCAGGGAATTCCAAGTTGAAGGAAAACTGAGGTGCAGAAGTGTCTTAGCTTTGGAAGAAAGAGGTCAATTGCAAAATCACTCATTTCTATAAAGTGACAGTTWACTGTGCTAATTKTGCAAACACTTACTTGCCTTGAAAYATGCARCTGTGTTTGCTATATATTGCATAATCTGTTTTTGATCTGTTTCTAGTCAGAATTGGACCAAGAGTGCAAATACATGAACAACRCATTGCAATTATTGTTCTGGGCAATGTTTTGCTGAAAACCATTAACACATACCAGCCACCAAAACGTTGTATACCGGTATTTGCCTTTTTATGGAAGTACTAGTCCCAGATGCAAGAGGTGTTTTTCAACAGAATAGATCTTATATCATAGATTGCATAAACATCACTAATGAAACTGGGAAAAAAAAGGTCTATAAATTTTAGGAACAAATTGTAAAGTCATTTTAGGTTCATATCTTATTGAATCAGATCAGGCGTTYCTAATGCAAAACAGTTCTGGACAAGTTGTCCCTGTTTATGCACAAACTATAGCCAACATTTTTAAAAAGAAGTTGTTTTTTGTCCACATTTGCCAAGAAACTGCTTTTTTTTTCCTCGTCAAATAAATCCACATTAACTTCTTAGTGCAAAATAAGAGGACTGATGACAAAAGTACTTCAACAACTAGAAAATATTTTCTTAAAAATCTATCTATCTATCTATCTATCTATCTATCTATCTATCTATCTATCTATCTATCTATCTATCTATCTATC